GGGGGAAGGAAGGAAGGAAGGAAGGAAGGAAAAGAAAATTTTAATGCACCTTTTCCCCTTTCCTTTCCTTCCAGCAAGGATCCAGTCATGGCGCGCAGCCCAATGATCCCTCTGCAGTTGCCCAAGAAGCTCTACTTTTCCATCACTCCAGAAGTCAAACGTGACCTTGAACGTGCAAAGCAGAACCTGGATGTGTAAGCGAGCAGGCCGTGTGCTCTGGGGTGGCCTGTTTTGGCAACACACCTTCCCAGTCGCATTGGAGATGTGAAAAATAGGCTCTTATCCTTCCTGCTCTGGAAGTTTTATGTTTTGGACTTCATGTGTAGGATACCGAGAGCCAGGATGGGGTAGTGGAGAAAGTGCTGGACTAGGAGCAAGGAGACCGTGAGTTCCAGTCCTCCCTTGGGCATGGTAGCCAGTTGGTGACTTTGGGCCAGCCCCTCTCTCTCAGCCGTAGGCTAGTAGTTGAAAAACATCTCAGAAGAAGATGATGGCAAATCATTTCTGCAGTGTTGCCAGGGAAATTGCCTGGACCTGCCAGAAAAAAAATAAAAGGCTGCTTATAAACTGCATGAGAGAAAGAAAGCAGTGTTCTCCCAAAGCCTGAGAAGAAACATCAGAGTCTGGGGAAGGAAATTGATGTCAACAGAAGAGAGTATCTGTAGCTCAGGGTTGAATTGTGGAGTCCTTGGTGTTCTCTGAGCTTGGTTGGTTGGTTGGTTGGTTGGTTGGTTGGTTGGTTATTTATTTATTTATTTATTTATTTATTGAATTTAGATGCCGCCCATCTCACAAAAAAGTGACACTGGGCAGTGACTCTTTGCTTGCAGACGTTTTGTTACCCAGCTAGGTAACATCATCAGTGCTCATCAGTGGTACTCACTAGCACTGAACATGTTACCTAGTTGGGTAACAAAACGTCTGCAAGAAAACAACCAAGCTCAGAGAACACCAAGGACTCCACAGAAATTGGTGTACCGTATTTTTCCGACTATAAGATGG